TACAAATTGTCGCCGAACATTTATATCCTCCAACTGATTATTGAACGTCTCTACTTGCTCCACTGTAGTAAGAGGAAAATTTGGCAAAAGAGAGAAATCATTCTCTGGTATTTCATTTCTTACTTCATTTCCATTTTCAAGAAAATGAATAATCCTGTTCAGTTTGCGCTCAATTGTCGCAAATTTTGTAAAATGTCCTATTCGACATTTGTCTATAAAAGAAAAACAAAAAGCAAACAATTTAAAATATAACAATACTGAAAGAATACAGCTAAAACAAATAATTAAAATCAATGCGTTTAAATATTTATCTTAATAGAAATAATTACTAAATAAAATGTTAAATTATTATAATAAATTATTTTAATATAAGTAATAAATAAATAAATTATAAAATAAATTATAAAATAAATTATTTTAATATAAGTAAATTTTTAAATTACCAGATTAATAAAATATTAATTAATAAATAATTTATATTTACTAGCAATGTTAATAAAATAAAATTTACCACAACAATTTGTATGCTGTAATTCCATTGAGTTATTTTCCAAATTTTCTTTGTTTTCTCTATTTTGGATATTCGATCCTTGTATGACGTGTATATTACGCATTAAATTGTTCGTGGGAGGACGAATTAATACGTTCGACAATATTGCTGGCTGAGCTACAAAACCTGAAAAATTGTTAAAAATATATTGTTTATATTTATATTAGCAAAATTTGTAATACATCAAATGAGAAGAAAATTGTAGTTTCAAACATATACCGTGTGATGTTGAAGCACTCTCTAATTTCTGTTTTATTCCATGAACTGCTTTCGACAATTCTGTAAAGCAATATAAAACAAATATAAGATTTGTCATTCATATTCATTACCAAATTTGTATTAATGATTATGTAATGATTTAAAATGTACCTTTTATAGTTTTTTGTTTTTCTTGTTCGAGTGTCATTGTTTTTTGCATTTCTGAAAAATAAAGATACAAGATGCGATATTTAAATAGCTTGTATTTTTATACGATAAAAGTAAAAGATATATCTACTTCTATTTTTATAACGAGTGTCTCAAATTTTACAACATAACTTGTATAGTATGTTCTATAAATAGAAGAAAAAAAATGTTTTATGAACATAGATTAACTGTTGAGATTAAGCGATACAAAAGTGATAAATTCAATACCAATCTCAAATAATGATGGATAGCTGATATTTTTAAATGGAAACTTAGGCAAAATTGTTTTTTACATATTTCATAAATTTGTTAAAAATTTTTAATGTTTTGGAATCTATGTTTATATATTTTTTTGCTTATAAAACATTTGTAAAAAAAATCCTCTTATACATATTTATATAGTTATAACATGAATTCGATGACGTAAAACATATAGTCATTAAAAGTAATTCAAGGTTGAAGTATACAATAGTGTTTTATTAATTTTCCAATTTCGAAATTTTTTTTAAATAAAGGTTTATACAAAATTATTTTCTGTTTAATATATAAATGTAAATAAATTTATACCTGTATTACTGTACTGTAACTCGTCACTGTAACTCGTCGATAGATTTTCCTTTTCCAGTACATTATCTGCACTTGCAACATCTAACCAATCTTCAAAGACACAGTCGACATTGTTGGAAACTTCGTTATTTAATTTAATGGAGCCGCATGCTATATATATAAATAAAAAGAAATAATTAATATAAAAATACACACGCACACGCGCACACATTATAAACATTATAATTAATAAAAAACTGGTGTTATTTATACAGGGTGTTTCAAAATAAACAGAAATAATTACATGATTCTTTGTAAAAAATTAAAGAAAGTTTTTTATGTAAACATTTACTGTTATATCTCCTTGAGAAGTTACACTCCTTCAAAAGGAAAGATAAAAATTAAGCTTTTATTCTTTTTCAAATTTTGAACAAGAAAAATGTGTATTAAATTTCATTTCTCTCAAGGAGTTTAACTCCACAAGGAGGAATATATAGGAGTATACGTTTATATAAAAAAAAATTCTCAAATATTGACAAAGAACTATCTTCTATAGCTTTCTTGCATTTATTTAAAAATACCCCTATATATTATATGCATACGTAAATGACAAACCTGGCTTATTGATCGTTGATAATTTAGTTGACTGACTCAGTGAAGCAGATGCATATCCGCTTTCTGCTTCTGGAATGTAATTTGATGGTATTGTGAAATATTTTTTATTTTTGACTCTACCTCGCTTCCATCTATAAATTTTTGAAATTACATTTTTGTATTTTAACAATTATATCTTGAATGTATTATAAACTAGAAATCATAAATACGTGTTACGCATGAGCTATGCAGCTTTTTATTTTTTACTTTTTACAAAAGCAAGTATATAAATCAATTTCAATTTTCAAAAGTTTGTGATCTGTCAAAATACGATTCCTGTGCTGACAGTCACTCTTGCAACAACAAAGCAAAGACAAAGAACTAATCAGCATCGTAAACAAGCATCAATAATTGAAATTCTTACACGACTTTTAAATGGTTGCATTCCAATATTTATTGTAAGTGCTCAAACTATTGCAGACTTGACGTGCACTCTAGAGAGTGCACTCTTAGAACATATGTATATACTAAAAGTACCATAATCAATTTAAATAACATAGCAAAAAGCTAATAGTGCACTATTGAGTACTCGTAGTAAACATTGAAACATAGCCCAAGAGTGGAAATGTATTTTATAAATACCATCACTGCTCGATGTGTCGCCATAAAATTTTCGTGCTTTGATGAGTCTTTTTTTTAAAGTATTTTTTGTTTGTTCCTGTATGACAATATTGTCGTCTGAGGCAGACATTTCACCTACTGCCTTTTCAACTGACCGTGCATTGAAGTAATCTTCTGTATAATGTTTCCACAAAAATATTAATTCATTCAAAATTTAAATATGACATAAATATAACAAAAAGTATAAGATTAATCGGCCAAGGACGAGCAAAGGTACCTTTAATATTAATTTTATACTTTTTGTTATTTAAACACAAGCTTGACATTTCTATTAACATAAATATAAAATATAAAACAAACCATAAGAACCGAAGCTCTTATGAAACTTTATTTCGTCCCAGTCATCAGATGGTGACAGTTGTTTCGTACAAGCTTGAGTAAGCTGTTTACATTTTCTTGGCATTTTAAATGTGGATAGCTTAAAATCTATCCATGCTTTTGGTACTGTTATACAATACATATCATAGAGTAATACATAAAACGTCATTCTGAAAAATTTTAAAAAAGTATATACATAAATAATGTTATTATATATATAATAAAATATAAAGATAGCAAGACAAGATATTACAAATAACGTCATCATTACTTTTATTTTTTTAAATAATAACGATTTGGTAATAACGTAATAATTTTTCATAACAATAATGATAACACTATAGAGTTGGAATAGTTATTTTTAACAGATAATTTGTTACCATTACGTGTAATTCACTCATTGAAAAAATATTTCATTATTTGACTCATTATATAATATTCTTATATGTAATATATAAATATATATATGCTTATAAGAGGAGAAAGGAAAAAATTAAATATTAAAATTAATTTTTAAAAACAAAAATTTTTTCGACTTTATTCACATTCACTTTATACACATAATAATAAAATGATCAATAAAGGAAATAGTTGCTTTTCAAAAACGATATGTAGAGTTGCATATTATAAATTGCATAATTTTTTGTAATTGTATTATAACTATATGATTTTTTACATCAATTAATTAATTATTATGCGCAAACAAACATTAAAGTTAAAAAAATGAATAATTTACAAGACATTTTATATTTCATATCTAAATGTGTTAGAATAAAGACAAAATTAAAATTCTAGAAAAATTAATAATTTATTACATATTTAATAATATTAAATATTTAATAAATTATTTTTAATTTTTTGAGAATTTTACCTTTATTTGTTTATATGCAAAATAATTGGAAAATCATCATATAAAAGAAATAAAATATAAAATATACAAAATAAAAATTTTCAAGAAAAAATTGATTGCGCCTTCAATATTTAAAGTTGTTAACGGAGAGTTAAATGTTAATAATAAAGTAATACGTCCAAAATTGATACCTCTGTTGCAATTTACGAAGAAGACATAAAGTTGAATGTTGATTTAGAGTTATTTCGCAGCAATGTAACATAATCATTTGAGTATTTAATTGAACGTCGAATGTAATAACGGCATGCAACACCACGTATTTGCGTTTTCAAACGAAAGTTGAACAGCTTTCTTTACAATTTCTGTTATTGGCCACATCTCTAGGTTCGATGCATTTTTCACCACACATATGTCCATATTTTGTGATTCACAAGGATAGAACGGTAAAGAATTTTTTGTTAAAAATTTTTTTCCAATAATGACAGGTATTTTTTCTTTATTATAACAAATATGCTCAATAACAACAATTGTTTTATCTGTAAGGTAACAACAGTTGTTGGGCTTCTTATCTGTCAACGTAAAGTCGCTGAATTCAATTATACAATAAGCACTGGTACAATTCATTGGAGGAACTTTTGAACTTTTTTTTTTCAATATAGGCATATTAGATTTATTACAATCGTATTGAAAAGTTTCATTAAAATTTTCCGAAATCCTTTTATATAACTTTTGTAGTGGTTTCTCGGACTTTCGCAGCATCTTTTTTATTGACTGCATGTAGTTCTCAAACGGAAAGGCAGAAAAATTATCCAGTGATCCAAACATGAGAACATCTTCGTTTATGTGAGCTAAATTATGTACATTGTAAATTATAGTATCGTCACCATACAACTGTCTAAATATGTGTATAGATTGAATCAGTAGATCTTTGCTGTATTTATTGTTACGGAAGCAATCTGTTGGATGACATAATATTCGTATTGCACAATTTATTACATTGAAGTGTAATAAATTATCTTCTGGCAAAATATTTAACAGCACGACTGGTCCAAGATACAGTAAAAATTGCCTCAATTCGGTTGTTTTCCAACGAGCTAATTCGTCCACCGAACGTAGTTTTCGAGCAAATTCTTTCGGTACCCACTTCGACATAGCAACTAACTTTTCCGACAACTCTGTTATTTTTCGACCACTTAATCTTGATGTCTGATAACCACTTATCCATAATTGCAATAATTTTTTCATGACTCCTAGACATACTAAATGCATGTAATCTAAAGGAAATCGAGAAACCATTGGCAGATGTATCAATTCAAAAGGAGATACACCAGTATGGTGATCTTCTTGTACTCTATCCTTAAAATTTTGATCAGTTCGAAGTGATGCAGTAGATTCCAAAAATAGCATATGATGGTTGCAATAGGTGCCTTCTTGCGTACACTTTCCACATCCAAAAAATCCGTTGTGTGATTTTGTGCAAGTTACAAATGCTCTTGCAGGGCTATCGCAAATAACGCTTCTAATTTGTACAGTGTATCTGTTTTCACCAAAAACAAGTCCTATATTTTGAAGAACATTATATTCTTGGCAAAAAGGTTGTAGAAAATTATGTACAGAGGGTTTTGAGTACCCATGATATGCACTGATTATAAATGGTGTAAATGCTTTGTCACCGTAAATTTTGCCCAATATTGGCCAAATTTGACTTTTACTGCTTTTGGATATTGGCAGTCCATCTATATTCAAATCAATCTGAATAATTTTATTTTCCGCTATAAACTGTGTGCGTGCCAATTGTTCAATTATTGCTTTTTTCAAACCATAATGGAAAAAACTGTTATCTGCCGATACTTCTACAATACTATTTCTCGGCGTACTTAAAAGCGTTCTTGCATCCTTTGGTAGATCAGTGTGACCACACGTACGCAATTTACTTAACAGTTCGGACAAAGCAATGTGAGAAATATTATGTTTTACCTTCCAATAATGTAACCAATTTGAAAGTAGAATTTTAGAAGTCGTTTCTCTAGTATTTTCTTCATTTTCCGGTTCAACAGTTCCGTGAACATCATAATTTTGAACGTCGGCAAAATATACATTCAGATAATCTGAGTTAGTGTCATCAGGTAAAACATCATTATTATCTGAATTAAAGTCATTAAGTAAAGCATATTGTTTTAGAGGCACATTCATATGACTTCGCGACTCTAAGTTATGTGTTTTACTGGTTGTAGATTTGTCGACATTACGTGCAATTAAGACACGCTCATGTCTTTCATAAGCTTTAAGGCGTTGATTTTTTTGCCGCGAAGATAATTCCCGAAAACTTTTCGGCATCTGTTAATAATAAATTATTATATACGTAACATATTTAAATTTATTATTTTATTTCATTATTACAATATTAAACAATGTTGTAACAATGTAAAAATGTGAAAGTGAGTATATAAATAAGCATTTAATATGACATAAAAATGAGGTACATAATTTCATCTTTTTTATAGAATGTTTTAACCATCGAAAACCATCAAATGTATGACATTTTGTTGTGATAGAGTTCAAATATAAAAGGCAATAAACCTACTTGTTAAAAATATCTACAAATTACAAAAGTTCCAAACATACTATAATATTTTATAAGTTGATGAATCAATACGATTTTTCTAAAAATGTAATTCTTTCTATTGCTCTTTCTCAAAAAGTTTTAATTTATGTTAAAAATTTATTCGATAAAATTACAATTTACTTTTTTTATTTTACAAAAATGTCATTGGAATTTTTTAAAAATTTAGTTTTGTTTTTACCAGCTTGTTGGCGAAAATATTTTTAAATGTTTCATAACTAAATAATCAATTATTTACTTTTCATAGAATTACTTTTTCACAACTTTGCGTATTTTTTCTAAAAAAATTACGGTTATAAAAAGTTGTTTTATGTATCTTTAGTCTTCAATTAACAATATATATGTATAAGCATTTTATTGGAATCTTTATTGGATCTTTTCGTGCGCAAAAGTTCTATCCCTTTAGACGCTGACACGTTATCATGTAATTATATTTAAATATAAAAAAAAATGTTTACAAGCATACAAAAAATATTTAAAAAAAATACATATTTAAGTATTGTTCAAAATAAATATAATTTTATCACATTTTACAAAACATTTTTACGAAACATAGTTCAAATCGTTCACACATTCGTTCAAGGACTCGTCCAACCCGATGAACCAATAACTCATCGCCTCCTAAGCATGCGTTTGGAAATCACCCGTGTGCCCTCGTATCATTTTATCTTTCTTGTTCGTCGAATATTGGACAAGGCTAAAACGATATACGGGGACACTCGAGTGACGTTTCCGAGCGCAGTCCTGGATACAGTGAAACAATTGTTTCGGGACGGACTTTTGAACTTGCTTCACTTATACTTTTAAGAGAAGACAAATCATTTATGGATATGTTGAATGATTTAAATGTTTTGTAAAATTTGATAAAATTATACTAAAATTTTTTTTTTTATCTATATTTGTTATATATATATATATATATAGGTATATATATATATAGGTATATATACATTATATATATGTTTATTTGTGCCTTTTGTGAGCTTATGTTCTGCGTAGGAGATAAGATTTTTAAAAGTATTTCATTGAATAAAATGTTATTAAATGATCCTTGATATAGAGATCTTGGTGCAAAATATCAATAATTGGTTGCCATAAGACTTTTTCTTTCTTTTGAATATGATAACAGAACGAATAATCTCTGTATAGCGTTTTATATAAATTTATATGTACCAAAATATTGAATTAGAAAAATATGTATATACTGTTATTTAGAAACAAATTTTAAATTATCCTTATATATAATATATATATTGTATATTAATGCTCATTTTTATGTTTTTGAGAATATGATTTTGTTAAAAAAAATATTTTATATGCAACATAATACAGAGATTACTCTGTTTTGATATACTGTACAAAAGAAATAAATAGTCATGTCAACCGATTATTGACATTTAACATTATTAAGATATTAAATTAGTCTAAGAAATATGTTTAGACAGAAATAAAATTTAAATTTAAATTTAAATTTTTTAAAATTTCTTTCAATAAAAATCTGTTAAAATTCCTCAAGGGTAAAAAAAAGAATCCCTGAAGATTCCAGATTTTCCAAAGTAGTAATAAATGTATCACATTATAAGAAAAACATTACCAAAATAAATTGATATATATGTTTAATAGAACATATTTTTTTTAATATAAGACATTAGAACCGGTATTCATAGTAGACTCTTAATTTAATATCGTCGAAAGCAACGTTAAAATGCTAATACGGCTCTGTGATTGGCTTATCACATCTGAAGACTGTAGCTAAGACAGTCTTAGTAGACTGTATCTAAGACAGTCTACTAAGACTTCTGAATAAATAATGATTAAATAATAAGTGTCTTACCTTACAATATAAGTAATAAAGGCAGATGTTGCATGCAACAGTTACAAGAATGTTTTGAAAAGCAAAAAAGAACTTGGAATGCAAGACAATATATGTCATAAAGATCACTTTACTGGCTTTACCACAAGTAAATTTGCCAATCTTAACTGCAAGTACAAATCTTAGTGTTGGAGACGTTCTGAAAAAAGTTGATAAAAATGTTCTATTAATAAACATGTCTATGAATATACAACATTATTGAAAATTTCAATAAAATAACATTCCATTAAGATAATCTGCTGT